CAGCGCCAGGGACGGCCATGACGGCCCCAAGACGGGCCCACGCAAGAGGGCCCCGAGAGGCCTGCCAGGACGCCTCCGTGAGGCTAAGATTGTCATTATCGTCCTGTCCGTTCGATGACGGCCCCCGATGCTCCTAAGATCGCCCCAAGACGGCACAGGACGCACTCGCTGTGCCCCCAACAGGCCCCCCAGGAGTACCCCGAGTCTCGCCGCAAGGAATTTCAAGAGTCTCGCAAGAGGCTCCGAGAGGCCCTTCGGACGCCCCCAAGAAGCCCCCAAGACGCCCCAAAAAATCATAGCGGCCCCAAGGGGCCTCTACATTCGGGGCGTTGACCTAAGGAACCATAAATAAGGAACGAGGCCTCTTTTTCCCATAAGTTAAACTTCGATGTCCTATCGAAAACATAAGGAAAATCTGGCGCAAGCTGTGTAACACTTAAGGAACGCGGAGCCCTTCCCAACCAAAAGGGTTCCTTCTTCAGGGCCCCGACCGTAAGAAGCCACCACGAAGCCCCCGAGAGTCGGGTCGGGCGAAAGGGGGGGATAGCAAAGGGCCACGAAGCCCCCGAGAGGCCCCACAAGAGGTGCCCAGGAGGCTCCACGAGGCTCTCCGGCAGACCCGCGAAGCCCCCCCCCCCCCCCCCCGCAGGTGTTCCCCGGAGCCCCAAGAGAGGCCCCAAGACAGGGGGCAGCGATCTTCGCGCTCCGCGCTCCGCGAAGCGAGAAACGCAGTCAGCTTCGCGCGTTCGCGCCGCCCTCCCGGGAACAGGGCGAGGGGCTCCCGCGCCTCGCTCCGACGTCGCCCAGGACTGCGAAGCGCGACAGACTTCGCACCCTCGCGGTGGCCGCAGCAAGGAGGCCCCGAGGAGGCCCCGAGACCGGGACCTCTTCTTCGAAGCACGCCCGGGGGCCCTGCGCTGCTGCACACGGCCGCGCGCGTCCGCCACCGCTTCCGCAGGCGTGGCGGCTGGCCTGCGCGGCCGCGCCACTGGATACATGGTGAGATCGATGGATCTACTGGCAGGGGTATCGATAGAAGGATAGTCGGGGGGGACGAGAGGGTAGGATATAGCAAAGGGTAGGGCAGAGATTCTACTGACGGGCGTATCGATACGGTGGGGGCGTTGGATAAGGAACCCCTAGATAGGGAATCCAGGGTCTGGAGGCCGGTGGAACTCCAATCGAGGCTTGGCCATGGGTGTCACCGCCGCCCTCACTAGTTAAGGAATCCTCCAGGGTCTGCAGCATCCTGGGCGCATGCCTTAACCAACGCCCCCACCGTAGAGGGATAGTGGGGGGGAGGGGGGCGAGAAGGTAGGAAAGCAAAGGGTAGGGCAGATAATCAGCTAACCTGGCTGGCTTCCCTGGCGCCCCCTGACGCCAGGGGGTGCCCGTGTATCGAGGACTGATGAGGAAAGGGCCCGGCGGCGGGACGGAAACGAGCTGCATGCAACAGGTCACATAACCCCCCCTTTCCCTGTCCTACCGTTTCGTCTGGCCCGAGAGAAGGAGAAAGACATGATGTCAAACCACCTGCCACGTTGAAAGCGAGATCGATCGACACATTGCAGAAGCGGCAGGGGTGTGAGATCCGCCAACATGTCGATTGTGAGGTCGGCAGATGGCAACCGACACCGATAGATAATACGATGAGTGACCCGTGGTCGTCCGGCGGTAGTCCGCGGTAGTCCGCGGTTATCCGCGGTGACCGGGTAGTCCGCGGTTATCCGCGGTTATCCGCGGTATCCGCGGTTATCCGGCGGTAGTCCGCGGTAGTCCGCGGTTATCCGCGGTATCCGCGGTAGTCCGCGGTAGTCCGCGGTGACCCAACGGTTGTCCCGCGGTAGTCCCGCGGTGATCCCGCGGTTGTCCCGCGGGTGTCCCGCGGTTGTCCCGAGGTCAGCTATCCCGGGGCGGTCCCGCGGCTGCCCCCGCGGTCGTCCTGCGTCTTCGTCGCGAGGTTTTGTCCATGTGGTCGTCTCGTGCTGTCGCGCGGTCGCCGGAGGTTGGCGCGCAGTCGACCCTGAGATCTGCACAGATAGATAGATGTGTGTATGTACACAGATAGATGGGGAGATCGATCGATCGTGAGACCGATCGACTTCTTGAGGATGACCATCAGCGATAAAAAGTGTGAGGCCCATGCATTTCGAGACCGACTGATAGCAATATTCAGATAGGTAGGTTTGTAATGAGACCGTTGACAAGTGGAATCGAAAGACAGATGGTGGCATCGATAGATGATGTGGTAGTGGGATCGGCATATCTGCACGTATATATATATATATACATATGCAGAGAGAGAGAGAGAGACGAATTGGTACTCGGGTAGTGTGATCGGTGGATGGACAGTGCGACTGGTATATAAGAGAGCTGCTTAATGAGATCAACACATGCATCTAGAGATATGGAGGTAGGTCGATAGATCGCGAATCCGATCTGGCACCGGACATGCAAACCGCAAGCGCGAACCGCAAGCTGGTAATCATGACATGCTGTTTAGGACAACTGGCTGTCATCACAAAAGTGTGATCTTTCATCTCAGCTGCCTGGGCATGGCTGGGCGTGGCCTCGCTGGCTAAATCGGGTGGGCTCGCTGGGCCTCGCCGAACTCCCTCCCCCGGAAGCCCTCATCCATCCCTCCTCCGTCGGCTTCTCCTTGTGTGCCCCCTGCCTGTAGTCTTAAATCCCCATCAGCCCATCCTCCGTTGATCCCTCCGTGCGCCCCAGGTCCCCCCCACCCCTTGCAGTCCTGAGCCCTCGTCCCTCCCTCCTTCGGCTACTCGCAAGAGTGACCCTAAGCAAGAGTGACCTTTGGTGCGCTGCTTAAAGAGGGACGCGGGGTGGCCAAACCTGGGCGCGCAAGCCGCTGCTACCGCTTCGCGTTCAGCGATCGGGGGACCCCATTGGGCCCAAACCTGAGGTCACTCTGGCGAAAGGTCACTCTTACGTATAGTCGACTCCTGCACTGCTCCCTCGCGCCCCCCGCCCCTCCCGCGTGGTCCCCAGCCCTCATCCCTCCCTCCTCCGTCGGTCCCTCCTCTCCCGTGCGACCTGGCCCTCCCCCCTTCCCACGGTCCTTTCTTTGTACTGCTCCCGCAGCGCGATCCCGTAGTACACCGTACCCGCCACCGCGCCCGCGCCCAGGACCATCGCCGCCATGGCGCCCGGGTACAAGCGCGGGCCCGCGCTGTCTCTGGGCCCCCCCCGTGGGGAGTCCCCACCCCGCTGGTGAGGAGTGTGATTGCTGGAACGGGGGGGACAGGGATGGAGAAACAAACAAGAACAAAGGCATGAACTTCCGGATTTCTTGGATCGCCGCTGGACCCCCTCCCTGGCGCGCGGAGCGCGCCAAGGGCGGTGCCGGAGGCGCCGCCAGAAGTTTCAGCACCGACCCCAGAAGCCCGCGAGACGCTCCGAAAGTTTCATGTTTATGTGACGCTTGGCTCCCCGAGGGGAAGGCAGCGGCGAGGGGGGGCGGGAGGAAGTGGGCACGGAAAGGTGGAGGGCCTAGTCGCACCGATACGCAACCCGCAGTCCGTAGCGTGTTGACACGGAGCTCAACACGGGGATTGCAAACCTACGTTTGGCGCCATACGCTCGCCAAAACGCGGGCCAACACGTTGAGCCAACACGCAGCAGGTTCACACGGACGTCTTGAACGCGCAGCGGGTTCGCACAAAACGGACGTATCAGGGCAGCTCAGGTGGAGGGAGGTTCAGTGTAGCGCGGTGTCGTAGCGTGGCGTCGTAGAGTGGCGTCGTTGCGTGGCGTCGTATCACGGCGTCGTAGCGTGGCGCCGCAGCGTGGCGTCGCAGGGAGCTTCCCCGAAACGGTGGTCGCGGCTGGGGGCTCTCTGTCGTGGCATTGAGGAGTGGCCTCTTAGGGGGCGCGCAAACTTGGACGAGCGATCGATGGATTTGGCGCGCGGTCGCCTGATCCATGGTTCGGGGGAGGTGCCCTCTCCAAAAGGCGGCCCATGCCGCCTCGGTCGGCGGCGGCACTCCGCGATTTCCCATGGAAACGGGGCCCGTCGCTAATCCACGCCCCCCTTGATCCATGTCTGCGATCGCCTGGCTCTTGCTGGCGGGAGGTCGGCCGCTGGCGCGCGTGGACTCCCCCGCGCGAGGGCTCCCGTGGCCGCCGGGTGCTGCCCACGGCCGCTGCTGCCTGGGCTCCTCGGCGGGGGCTTTGCTGCTGGGACTCGTGCAGCCCTCGTGCCCCTACAGTGGAGGCCCGTCCACAAGAAGCGCTCCACAAGAGACCCAACCCTAAAACCCCAGGACGTCCATTGGTTTTGTTGGGTGTGGGAGCGTCACGCTTTCCTTCGCAAAACCATCTCGAAGTCCAAGAAGCCCAGGGCAGCCTGGAGGCAAGCAGGGTGTTTCTTGGCAGGGGCCCCCACTGTACAAGGGGCGCCGAGCAAGGAACGCCGGAGCTCGCCTGGCCACGGCCAGCCTCGGCTCCCGCGCGTGGGCCCCCGTACGCTTGGCACTCACGGGTCGGAGACTCGGCCGCTCACGAATGGGCTGAAGGGTGCTCTCGCCGAAGCGCCGCGCGGACGGGCGTGAGAGAAGGCTCACGTGGCACAGGTGCACAGGTGTGCCACCTGGTGAGAGCGCAGAATTGGGATATGTGGATGATCCCTTTTCCGTGCGCCAGCGCGTTCTTAGCAACTCACGCCTCTTACTGTCGTAATTCGTCATGCATGTATGGCAGACTGTTTTTCTAACAGACCGTACTTTTGGCCAGCTACTTGGAATATTAACCACGCGTTGGTGGGAAAGAGAACTCGTCTTGTGTGCGATGGGTGCTACCTGGTCTTACCCAGACTCGACTCTCGCCGCGTGCTGCGGCCAGACAAGAAGGCCGGCCCCAGCCGTGCAGACCGGCGTACCCCTCCAGCGAGGGTGGACCCCACACACCGAGTAGCGAGTGAGCTGTACGGTGCGCACATGGTGTTCGGACCATGTCCCAGCCATTTCCAAGACGTCTGGATTTCAGTCGAGCAGCAGACAGCTGGCTCCGACGACCATGGGGGCCCCTGGCGCGGCAGGGACGCCCGCCGCTCGAAAGCCTGGGCCGCACACGCTGCCGCCGGCCGTCGCTGACGCTTGCACCTCTGGCAGCGGCCCTGCGACCATCGGCGACGGCGCTGGCTTCGCCAGCGCAGCCTGCCCGGGCGGCGGCTCCGCCGCCAGCGCGGGCGCCGGCCCGCCCAGGGAGTGGAGCAGCCGCGGCAGCCCGTCTGCACCGGGGCCGGCGGCCCACCCCGGCGGGGCCCAGGCGGGCAGGGCCCAGGCGGGCGGGGCCCAGGCTGGCGGGGCCCAGGCCGGCGGGGCCCAGGCCGGCGCCCACGCGACGGCCGAGGGCGCCGACTCACAGCCGCAGGCGCCCACGCAGAGGACCCGCGCCGCGTAGGAGCCACCGGGCGCGAGCTGGCGCAGGCCGCCCACCTGCAGGTCGACCAGGCAGCCAGGCGGCGCAGCCGCGCGGACGAAGCGCTCGGAGGACGAGCTGCCAAGCTCCGACAGCTCCACCACGTACGCCGCGGCGTGGGCCGCTGGCAGCCAGCGCACGAGCACGGAGGAGCCCGCCCCGTCGGCCCAGCTCACCTCGGGCACTGGGGGCGCCGAGACCAGCCCACCGTGAGCGCACTGCTGCCACCCGAGCGCTGGCGTGCAGGGCTGCGCCAGGCCAGAGACAGCCTGCGGCGGGAACGCGGCTGCAGAGACGGCGGTCGGAGCCTTCTCTGGCCTCGCCGCCGGCCGTGGGACGGCGACGCGTGGCTCGGAGGACTCGGACGCCTGGGACCTGGTTCCACATGCAGTCGTGAAGGATACGCGCGCCTCCACGGCGGCGCCTGTGCAGGCCTCCCGAATTGGGCCCGAACTGATGAGGCCAGAGGATCGCGCCGCATCGCCGATGACTCGCGGGTGCCTCGGCGATGCCTCGGCGATGCCTCGGCGATGCCTCGGCGATGCCTCGGCAACGTCGGGGTGGAGAGAATCGGGCTTCACACCGAGCCGCATCGCCGATGCATCGGCGCGGCGCGGCGCGATCCTCCGACATCATCTACTCCGACCCCACTTGGGAGGCCTGGAGCCTGTGGGGAGGCCCGTGACCCTGCAGGACGAGCACTCCGGCCGCTGCGTGCTGCGCGTGACGTCGTCGATGGCCTCCCACGGCGCCTGCGCGCCCGCAGGGCGGATCTCCAGAGTGTACCCAGCGGCGATCACGGACGGGGACCACGTGATGAGGAGCGTGCCGGGGTCTTGCCCAGCAGTCAGCAAGGGCTTCGGCAGCGCGGGCAGCAGCGGCTGGTCGGCCACTGGGGCGCCAGGGAGCAGAGTGGCGACCCTCGTCTCTGCATCGTCCGCGAACGCGTGCACCCTGCTGCTGAGGAGCCGCGAGACCGCCCCGATGCCAGGGAACCGCGCCACCGCGAAGCCCTCCCCGCCCGCCGCCCTGGCCAGCGCCACGCTGGTGGCCCCCTGCTTGGAGAAGAAGTGGAAGAGCTCGGCCTCCGTGACGTCCGCCGGGAGGCCCGCCACCTGGGGCGAGGGGATCTGCACGCCGCCCCTGGCCGGGCCCAGGATGGGTCTGGCCAGGGGGCGGCGGACGCGCCCGTCGAGAAGGGGTCGACCACAGAAGTGGCTTATCCCAACCTCGACGGGTCCGTCGCATCTACGGCACACATCCACGGAGCATTCTAGGAATCTTGGCCGTAGACTCGGCGAGCAAGTCGTGCGTGTGGGGGGTGCACCGATTCTGTGGCCGATCCCCTACTCTCATGGGCCTGTTTTCCACCGCCACCACCATAAGTTGGAGGGGGGAAGGAGGAGGAGGAGGAGGAGGAGGAGGAGAAGAAGAAGGAGGAAGAGGACTCCCCCTCCAACTCTGTGGTCGATCCCCTACTCGAGTCTGGGCTCCGTCGCCCGACCACCAGCACCCTGTCGGCGAACGCGTGGCAGTGCAGGACGGCGTCGTGGAGCTGGCCGCCCCGCGGCAGGCCGACCGCGAAGAGGCCGAGCACCGACGCGGCGGGGCGGCGGGTCTTTCCGGGGCGACGATAGTTTGGAGTCCCGAAGCGGTGCGGTGACAGACCGTGCGGTGACCTCGGAACCCCAAGATACCTCAGCGCACGGTCCGTCGCCGCACGGTCCTTGGGGCCCTGGAGGCCCCTGTCGCCCGAGACGTCCTCGGAGAGGGGCTCGAGTCCCAAAATCGTGCGATGACCCCGAATCTCCACCGACTCACCGCACGGTGTGACCACCCCGTTTGGGGGCGCCTGGGATAGGGGCGAACAGCCCCGGGGCGGGCGTCACGTGCATTCGCCCGGGGAGCCTCGCCGAAAGCAAGGACCATCGGCGCCCCTGGAGACATGTCACGGTAGGTTCGTGTCGTGCCAACCCTGGCGCTGGTTTCGGACACCGCGCTGGATCGTTCAGCCTTGAACGATCGGCCGATTCCGAAACGTGCGATCGTTCAGCATCGACCGCTTCTGGGTCGCCGACGGCGTTCAACGTTGAACGCCGGCGGCGGGGTCGCCGCTGGTCAACACGACGCTAACCTACCTTATTGCTCTCCCCTGGGCCTCCTCCTCCTCCTCCTCCTCCTCCTCGTCCTCCTCCTCCTTCTCCTCCTCCTCCTCCTCCTCCTGTTCTATTCGCCCCCATCGTCGCCCCCGAGTCTTCTCGAGGCACACGAGCTGGGCCTCTGGCGGCGTCTCGTCGCGGGCGCCCGGCACGCAGAAGGACACCTCGTCGCCCTCATCCAAGCGCAGCTGCCCCACCGCCTCGGCGCCCACCGCCACGGAGTCCGTGCCCAGCGCCTCGGCCATGCCCCTGCTCCTGGTGACTACCTACCAGACCACCCCAGCCCAACCCGAAGACCCGAAGTTCGGGTTGGGGGGGGGTGCGGGCGGGCTTCATGTGTTTTTCAAGATTCCCCGCCCCCCCCCTACTGGAAATGGAGAGCAAGTCGGGGCCGTCGGGTTGGGTTGGGGTGTTTTGGTGGGCGGTGACCTGCTGGGAGTCCCTCAGAAAGGTGCGGGGACAGACCGTGCGGCCACCTCGAGATCCCTTCATCGCACAGCTTTGGGACCTCGGGGCCCCAGTCGCTGGAGACGTCCCCCGAAAAAGCCGTGCGGTCTTGGCTGCCCCGGGCACGCAACATGCAGCCCGTCACGTCCAGACACGGAGGCTCAGCACGTCGACCGAATGCGTAGCTCTGGCGCGATACGTTTGCCTAAACGTGGGCCAACATCGTGAGCCAACACGAATCGGGGAACAAGCAAAGACATAAACATCAAAACTCGGAGGTCCGCGAGGATTTCTCGGATCGGCGCTGGACCCCCCTCCCTGGCGCGTCGGATCCGCGCGGACCTCCGAGTTGTTATCTTTACGTCATTGCTTGTTTCCCACTTGAGCAAGGCACTCCAGATCCTTCAATAAGTTCAATAAGCCCCCCCCCGTGCCAACCTGTCCGACGGCCCTTGCCCGCCCCCCGACGCTCCCCAAACCCACTCCCTCTCGCTCCCCAATCTCCCCACGCCCCCCGAAGGACAGCGGTTTCCTACTCCCCCACGCGATCCACCCCCCCACGCTTATCGAGAGACCTGGAGTACGTGTTAATACATGTTGCGCTTCAGAAAGGGCGCATCACGGCAGCTAAGCGCGCGGGGAGCCCACACTGGCTCACCACACGGCGTGCTCGCCGCACCGCTTCGGGGCCCCCGATCCTCACCATGCCCGCGCAGGCAAGGCCGCCGGGGCCCGCGGGACGCGGGGCGCGGACCACCGTGCCCCGGAGCTTCTGCAGCCGCCTCGCCTCCGCGGCCTGCGGGTAGCCCTCGGGGCTGAGGCGTACGCGGAACTGCAGCACGTCGTCCTCTGAGAGGCTTGCTTTCCACCAGCAAACACCACCACAAGTTGGAGGGGGGAAGGAGGAGGAGGAGGAGGAGGAGGAGGAGGAGGAGGAGGAGGAGGAGGAGGACACCCTCCCCCTCCTACTCATGGTGGTGGCGGTGGAAAACAAGCCCACCATCCTCGGCCATCCCCTCGCCCACCGGGCCCGCCACAGCGGCCAGCGCCGCCTCCGCCTTCGGCAGGTACACGTCGCGCCCGTGCAGCGCGACCAGCTCGGCGCAAGCCACGAAGCCGAAGCCGCGGCGGTCGTTGTAGGACTTCACCACGCCCAGGTAGGTACCCTCGGAGAGCTCGGTGAGCTCCGCGCTCGCCGCGGATGACCCCACTTCCGCCCCCTCGAGCTCGGCCGCCGCGGCACTGGCAGCGCACTGGGCCGTGCAGGGAGGCGTTTTGGCCACCATCGCTGCGAAGGGCGTGCCCTGCGTCTGGGGAGGGTGCGCCGGAGGGAGCGCCAGGCCGGACTCTGCACCTGTCCCCCCCTCCCGCGAGCCAAAGCGACCTGAGGAAAAGATGACTACGGCGAAGAGGAGGACGAGGAGAATGAGGACGAGGAGGAAGGCCGTCCGGGAGGAAACTCGCATCCCCCGCGCGCAAGGGGGGGCGGCCTCAGCCCGCTGGCCGCGCCGCGACCCGGGCGGCCGAGGCCGCCGGGCCGCGGTGCGCCAGGCGTGTTTCGAAGAATGGTCTATCGTTCTCGGGCCCGTCGCTGCGCAGCATCGCTGCGTTAATGCTTGTTGCTGTCTCGTCGGAGGCTGCCCCTTGTTTTCCCAACCATCTTCGCTCCCTGGGGGCTGACATGGCTCCCGCGCGCGGAGCTGAACGCTATAGCCCAAACGCTATGACACCTGTCTGACACTGTTGCGAAGCAGGCCTGCGAGCCGACGGCCCGTCCGCAGCGGGCCCTGACGATAGAAAACGACAGACCTGAAAACGCACACAAAAAACTTGTATATTTTGTTATTGCCGTTTTTGTTCTGTTGCTGGGACCTGAAAGCTCTACAACAAGGACTTCCCCTAACACGCAGAGACGAACAGCATTCCAAGCAAAAGCGAAGGTTTAAGATGAACGAACGTTACCACCGCTGCTCTTCATAAGTGCGACAAAAAATACGACGACAAGTACGACAATGGGCACGACAAGTACGACAAGTACGACAATGTGTCCGGGGCGCTCGACTTTGAAATCCTCAGGGAGCCGACAATTGTTCAAGGATTTCGGCATGCGCGCGCGATGCCACGCGCGTGTGGACTTTGTCCCATATGCTGCAAGGGATTCTTGACAACTGATGACTTGTGGTCATGGAGTGCGAGCCCATCGTATTATTTGACGAAGACGAGGGGGGAACCCGGTCTGGTTGGGATGATACGAGTTCATGATTCGAATAAGCGATGGGGCATAACCATATGTAAATTGCACTTGCTTCGTCGCGGCGCGGCAGAGGCGATCCGCTCCCGCGTGGAGCAAAACCGCGCTACGAAATTGCAAATTGTCCCGCATGCAGGAATGGGAAGATAAAAAGAAGACGGTCTCAGGAGGAGGGAGGGAGAAATAGGGTACTCTCACGCAGCGGCGCCGCGGCCAGGCTGCGGGGCAGCCCCTGGCAGCGGCGTGGAGCGGCGTCAAGGGCGCACCCAGGGGAGGGGCCAGCAGCGGCAGTGCGGGCGAAGCCATGCAAGCGGGGGGGTGGGAGCAGCGGACGGCTGGCGGACCAGGGCGCCCGAGCGGGAGGAGTGCGAGGCAAAAGCTGAGGCGCGCGGCGGCGGGCAGCGGCCAACACGGTGCGGCCGGCGCTGAGGCAGTGTCGGGAGGCAGCCAGCAGGGCACTGCAAAGCGGACGACAGAGTGGCATGGCGCCACAGGGTAGCCAGGCGGTGCATGCCGAGCGGGGGCGTGGTGGCGGGGGGGGGTTGACGGGAAAGCAATCGCCATCCCATGGCCGGCGCACGCATCACAGCCAGGGACGGAGCGCGCCCCTCGCAAGTGGGACGTGGGCGTGGGCTCCCAAACGGAGAAGAGGCAAAAACGGGGGGGAGCTGCAACGGCGATTTCCAAGTGGGGCAGCAAGAGCTGCTGGCAGGGGCGACGGCCAGCCAGCGGAACCCAGGAGCGGCGGGCGGGATGCACCGTGCGCCCAGGGTGGAACCCAAGTGCAGCCGCACAACGGCGTCCGATGCAGAGGGCGGCGCTGCGCGCAAGAGGAGCGCGGGCGCGGGCTCCCGACGGGGAGGCAAAAAAGGGAGGTGAGCCGCAACGGCGGAGACCCCCAAGTGGGGCAGCGCGGGCTGCCGGCAGGGGCAGAGCCAACCTGCAGAGCACTGGGGCTGTGGGCAGCAGCCACAGCCAGGGTGCGGCCCAAAACGCAGGCGCGCACTGGCGAGGGGCAAGGCGGGGCGGCCGCGAGAAAGGGGCGCCGCCGAGAAGGAAAGCGGGGGCCCACGGCAGGAGGCAAGCGCGAGAGGGGTATTGGCCCCCCAGGGTTGGCCGGCAAAGGCAGGCGGCCAGAGCGAGGCGCGCCGACGCCAGAGCGGGCGCACAAACCGGGAAGGATGGCGCACCCGAGGGCAGACACCAATGGCGCACAGGCGGCCACGCAACAGGGGGCGAGGAAGCAGGCCAGGAGGCCCGACGCGCAGCCTTGGTTGGACGGCGCGCGGGGGGGACCAGGCGGCGGGCGCCCCTCAGCAGAGGGAGCGCCCCAGGGAGGAGCACCTAACTGGTGCGCTGACAGGTGTGAAATGCCTGGCGCCTCCAACGCAGGGAGGCAGTGGGGACGCATATGGAAAGCACCTAACTGGTACGCAGACACGTGGAAGCGAAGATGGAGCGGGCGCCTCCTGGGGTGGACAGCGCTACGCGGTCGTCGTCGTCAAAGCCAATGCAGGTCGGGAAGCACCGTGCGCGGTCAGGTGGTGGAGGTGCGTGTCCCCTGGGTTGGAAGGCACCGCGCGATCGTTAGCTTCGTCGCGTCAACGGGGAGCGCTGGGCTGTCAGCCACGCCGCCGCTATCCGTCGCCCCTACAGCCCACGCAATCGAGACTGGTATCCAGCGGGTCAGGTCGGTACGCTGTGTGGCTTTGCCGGCTCTGCTGCTGCCGCCACACCGCATCCTAATCGACGTTCAGGGTGCGGTTGTGGCACAGGATGCGAATGTCGTAGTGGACACTGGCCAGCTCGCCCATGAAGACCCGGCTGAAGTCGTCATAGCTGCGGGAGTTGCAAGTCCCTTTGCAGTGGCCATTCCCGTCCCGCCTGTCGCAGGCCCA